CCGATTCTACCTAATCGCTCTGTGCGTTTCTTCATGCCTTGTTTTCGCGTCATCTGTTGACCTCCGCCTGGAGGTACAACTGCGAATAAGACCCGGTGCGGCAGATGGCAGCTGGGTAGGCGCAATAGTTACCCCAACCAGCGATGCCTGTCGATCTGAATCCTATTTGAAAACGAATTTTCCACCGAATCGTTACCAAATACGCAACGGCTTACCTCAGAGTTATTTACACGCTCGCTCCATCCAACCCGCGCCAAACTACCCAAACATCGGCTGTCGAACTATGTGGTCAATTTGGGTCAACTTTACGGTTGAACTAGAACACCGTGTACCCTTTCCGACGAGAGCTGTGTCGAAAGTTACTGCTAGATAAGGATAGCCGGTAATCAGATAAGTAGCCGAGATACTGCATTTGAAAACTATCGTATAACACTACAGGATTAACGTTTGATAGAGAAGAACTGTCTGGGCATGATAGGTCAGTTGTTGCACATATCCAACAGTCGTCTTTCATACTTGTTCCTGAATGAACATACCGCACCATAGAGGGAGAAACCACATGGAAATCAACTAGAGACGCGGTGTGGAAAACGGTCAGGAGAGATTAGTTGCAATAGGTCTCTCCCTTCCGAGCTGGCGTTCTAACAGCCCTGTAGCTGGCTTACTGTAGACACTGGAGTATATCGCAGCAAAACGACTATAGTGGTTTTCTTGCTACCACTTGGATCAGCTTGCCCAAAGAGGTCCATATGTGCAGGTAGACCGTGTACTATGCACATTCCTCATTCTGGCTCAATTTGAGTTTCGCTTTCTCAAACAGACGCACTCCCTATCCACCCTACCCGTTTATTTTTATCTCTTCGCGCTCCATTATTTTATATTTCGCTTACCAAAATGACACGGAATAGTTATCAATAAAGCTGTATTCAACTTAGGTTTTATCATTTGTTCACCCTCGATTAAGCAATCTATTATTCTTGTAAATGAATTTCAGGGCAATACACGCCATCAAATTTTGATGCACTCCCAGTAATACATTTTGTTTGCCACCTCTCCACTAGTGTCGGAATCAATTGCTTTCGGCCATCGACGAGTATAGACGAACAGCCATATACCTCGCTCGTGAAGCCATTGCAGAACGAGCGAGTGAGTCCATAAGGCCGGGAGAATGTATCTGCACTTTTGGTTATTCTTCTGGGGTTGCTCGAGTACTGGAGCGTGCTTGGAAAGGCCTCGGACCAAGCGACGTGCAGATGGCCAACGAGGATTTAGACCTATCGAAACGTTCTTCATCGCAGGATGCAACTCTTGGCGAGATTACACCTCGTGAGATCACTTCGCTTTCGCATATTAAAGAATCTGACCAAACCACTTTGCGCCCTAATGTCCCTTTCAGTGTCCTCATTGTTGACAGCCGTCCCCGATTTGAGGGTCGAAAGATGTTGGCACGCTTGACCAAAGTGGGCATTCCATGCGAATACACACATATTGCCGCTTTGCCGATGCTAGCGCACAAAGTAAGTTTATTCACTATCCTCTCCCTTCACTCTCCTCAGAATGAGTTGCATGATCGCTTTCCGATAGATCCGCATCATATATATATATATCATAATAAGTAGTATGTGAATGACTGGAAAAAATTTCCCTGGAAGCACACGACCGGTTTCGCGGTCCTTGCCGCTCGTCAAGCATGTGTATCCGGTAATCTTTTATCAGTTCATTCATATACTTGTACCCAGGAAGTAGATTTTCGACAATAACCTGGTTTGCATCACCGGGTGACGTTTGAATAGACATATATATATAACCACTCTTTTCAGATACGGCGCCAAAATAACCATGCATTAGACGCGAAATTTAGAAACGGAAAAAGGGGAAAAACAGTCAACTTTGGGAATAACAGTTTTTGCTTTACTTTTGGGATCTCACATAGGGAAGGATGCATTCACGCCATTAACTTCGGTTTGATACCATTTCTTGCAGTGTCTCCCGTCAAAGATAGTCCGGCTCTTTGAGGCCGCAACCACTTAAGACGATGCAGTGAAATAGCTTTTCTCAGTGGAAAACTATCTGACCCTAGCACATGTCATCTGACCTCATCATTATTCACGCGATGCTCCCACCATACGCGGACGATGTTGCGCAGACAACGGTTGTCGAAGACGAAGGGTCGTTGGACATGATCTGCTCGGAGAGGCCAGGTTTCGCAGCCGTAGAGCAACCGAGCGCGTACCGTTGTGTAATGCACACGCCCATTCACTGAAAGGGTTATGTCGCGCCGGGGCCAGGGATGCTGCTGATTAGCAAACGCTAATCCAGCTTTGATTACGCGTTGAGAGGTCTCCTCACCCACACCACCAGCCGTTACGCAACTCCCGACTACTTCCAGGGTGTGCTTGCCCAACGAAAGTGCAGGATTGGGTTCCTGCCAATCTTGCAAAAACACCTTGCACTTTAAAGGTGCGAAGGATATACCATTACGAGTGGCCTTAATTACCAAACGATTCTGCGATTCTAAAATCGTCGGCGCGTTGTCACCAAGTAAGGCAATATCATTGCCATAATCTAAGTCTATTACTCTGTCCCCAAGACGAAGCTCGACGTCAGTGTTCGTTACGCCAAGTAACGCCTTTTATAGAACAATCATCTGTGGCGAAGTTGAAGAGAAACGGGGAGATGGGGCAACCCTGTCGTACTCCACTGGTGACAGGAAATGAAAGTGGGAGTTCCCCATTGGCCCTAACCTTGCGCGAGGTCTAGTGGAAGCGCTTTTAGAAGCGGGACATATGTCTCGGGTACTCCTTATTTCAAAAAACTGTTCCACAGTGCGGTGTGATCGAT